TGGTCCCGCATGGCCCCACACCTCTTGGCATAAGCGACAGGCCCTGTTACTAACACAGTACCAGGCTGCATTGTGCTCATCCTTTCGTGCACTGCTTCCCTGAGTCCCTCACTGGCTCTACCAGGACAGCTTCTTGTGAAAAGTTATGTTTAACGGCTTGTAATGTGACCTCCAACAAATACCACTAAAACTGTAAGTGACAGAAGCATGACAGAAATAGGGCTTGTTGTATGTTCAAAACAGTAGTAGAATTCAGAGGTTTTTCTAAGGGCAACATGAAGAAATCAGATTTTCCCCTGGTCCCTCTTCTTCTAGGCCACTGGGAGGGTTGCACTGTCATGTTTGCCATCTGATTCAGCTAAGCAGGCTCACACAACTGAGCTGACCATCACACTTCACTTGTGCCTTTTTGGCTGCTGGCACTAGTGACTTACGTCACTACTACAAGATGATCTCTGCTGAAGTCAAGAACCACCGCGTGGGATGCTTACTGGAATTGGGGACGGCAATTCAAGTACATCTGTGTTCACAATAATGCCACATTTTGAGAAACAGACAAGAGATCTGTTGGTAATAGTGAGAGAAGATGTGCTCCAGCTCCATGCCTCATAGTACCTGGTCACTTCACAATGAGATGACATGCTAAAGGCCAAAGTAAACAAGAGTCAATGAACCCTTGAATTTGTTCATTTCTTCTGATGATCAGAGCTGTCCCTCATGTACACATGTTGAATGTATCTTCTAGACTTGATTGATAAACATTAAGACTCCTTGCTCAGGTGGCTGAAGCTGGTTCTCCCCTTGGTTTTTGGTTTCAAAAGAAATCTGCTGTATAGAAATGAATGATGGTCCACCTGGCTTTCAGGCAAAGCAAGCATCTTGTTGCTCTGAAGTGAGGTTGCATATTTGATTAGTTTGTATGTCAGCCACTTATTTTGTCATTAAGAAAAGAACCAGTTAATACCAAACTCTCAAGCAAATGACACTTCATGTTCTGTAACTGAATCTTATCTCTGAAGGTACAAGACAAGTACAAAGCTTTGGCTAAAGTGCTCTCTGTATTACTCATAAAGTGAAAAAACAACCTCTCTTACCCTCCCACCCCAAACATATCAGTTATGCCACATGTATGATAATGGCATGCAAACTGAATTTATTGTCTTAGGTGTTGAGCGTATCTGAGCACCTTGAAGCATTAAATAATTTAAAAACCATAATCAGAATTAAACAATTCTGCTACTTTAAGGGCAATTAAACCTCAGTAAATACAATTGTGTTTACTTTTCTACCGTGGTTGGTCGGTCCAGTCCTGTCCACATATTCCAGCTGAGTCTATAATCATAGAATCATAGAATTGTTTGGGTTGGAAGAGATCTTCAAATGTCATCTAGTCCAACTCCACTGCAATGACCACAGATATCTTCAACTAGATCAGGTTGTGCAGAGCTCTGTCCAACCTGACTTTGAATGTTTCCAGGAATGGGGCATCTACCACCTCTCTGGGAAACATGTGCCAGTGTTACACCAACCTCATCATAAAAAATGTTTTCCTTATATCCAATCTAAATCTACCCTCACGTAGTTTAAAACCATTACCCCTTGTCCTGTCGCAACACGTCCTGCTAAAATGTTTGTCCCCACCTTTCTTATAAGCCCGCTTTAAGTGCTGAAAGGCCACAATAAGGTCTCCCTGGAGCCTTCACTTCTCCAGGCTGAAAAACCCCAACTCTCTCAGCCTTTATACATAGTACAGGGGTGCTAGCCCCCTGATCATTTTTATGGCCCTCCTCTGGACCCACTCCAACAGGTCCATGTCTTTCCTGTGCTGAGGGCTCCACAGCTGGATGCAGGACTCCATGTGAGATTTCACCAGAGCAGAACAGAGGGGCAGAATCATCTCCTTTGACTACTGGGCACACTTCTTTAATGCATCCCAGGATACGGTTGATTTTCTGGGCTGCGAGTGTATGTTGCCAGCTTATGTCCAGCTGTTCATCCATCAGTACCCGCAAGTCCTTCTTGGCAGGGCTGCTCTCAATCACTTCATCCCCCAGCCTTTATTTGTGCTTGGGATTGCCCTGACCCAGGTGCAGGACTCTGCACTTGGCCTTTTTGAACCTCATGAGCTTCACATGGGCCCACTCCTCAAGCTTGTGCAGGTCCCACTGCATCGCAGCCCATCCCTCATGCGCGTCAACCACACCACTCAGCCTGGTATCATCTGCAAACTTGCTGAGGGTGCACTCAATCCCACCATCTATGACACTGGTAAAGATATTTACTAAACAGTGCTGGTCGCAATACAGACCCCTGAGGGACACCACTTGTCACTGACCTCCATCTGGACATTGAGCTGTTGATCACTACCCCCTGGATACAATCATCCAACCGAACGCTCATCCATCAAACAGTCCGCCCACCTAATCTGTATCTCTCCAATTCAGAGGGAAGGATGTTGTGGGGGACTGTGTCAAAGGCCTTACAGATGTCCAGAGGGATGACATCTGTAGCTCTTCCTTTGTCCACTGATATAGTCACTCCATCATAGAAGGCCACTAGGTTGGTCAGGCAGGAGTGAAGCCATGCTGGCTGTCTCGGCATAGCATACTTAGAAGCATACAGAAGCATAGTTTCTACCCTTTTTAAAAACAGGTGCAAAGTTTCTCATTTTCAAGTCACCAGGGACTTCACTTGACTGCCATGACCTTTCCAATCTGATGCTACCACAATTTACTAGTCAATATAATTTTACTATTTAAATACAATGCTACCACATCAAAATGTTTTCCATTTACTGAGAACATTTTCAACAAATGTACAGGAGACAATGATGATGTCTCATCCCTGCAATATTCACACACCTATTCAATGTGTCATCAATAAAAAGGTGAAGTCGTCTTTTTGAAAGGGTTTTAGCACACAACAGACACCACCAACCAAAGGTTAGTTCTTGAAAGGTAATTTTATTTGGACTGTCTTTTTGAAGAGACACTAATGCCTTAAACTAAGCTTTCATACAGAGAACTATTTCTTCCAGGAATACTTCAAAGCAGGGGACTAACCTGTGCAATCTAGGTCATTTGGTTGAAGAAAGTCTTCTATACCTCCAACTGAATGATAGAGAAAGAGTAGGAAAATTGTCACCTGTATGTTCATGTTAGCCTTAACTGTCCTTAAAGCTTTAAAATCTTTGCCTCTTAGGCAAGACTAAGTAAAATGGTGTTGTATCAGAGAAATAGTTGATTAAACAGGAAAAATATTTGTTGTTATAAAAGTCATCAAACAGATGATATGAAGGACCAGTGAGATGAAAGCAGAAATTAAAACTGTTACTTCTCTAGAGAAAGGATCCTTCCAGGACACAGGAGGTATTATACTTCATAAATGTTTTCAAGTAGGATTGTTATCTAGCTGTTGGATAGTTGATTTCATCCTAAAATCTTCTAGACACCTAGGACACACTAAGCAAGCCATGTACAAGTGCTCCATATCCATGTCTGAGAGTTTTGGGATTTTTAATTTATGGTTTCAACCCTGTTTTGAAAAACTTCCTCAAATGGTCCAGCTTTTGTTTTCTAACTGTGTTTTTCATGTATAGACTGGGCTTTTCCATTTAAATGGATTGGAGTCACAAAGGCAACAAACCTGACAAATACTATGGTGAATATCTTCAGAGGATTTGGGGAATATTTTCCTTATTTTTTCCTCTTTTTTTTGCACAAGATGTTAAGTGAACATTTAGCCATAAATCAAATGTTTGGGGAAGCTATCAGCACAATATACCATTGAGTCTATTAGGAACTGCTCTGATTTATTGTAACTGTGGCAGAACAAATCCAGAGGTACTTGCTGAGTTTTGGCACACAAACATGTGGTTATTTTCTGATCTTAGATTGCATATCCAGCAAAGAGAAATACTTCTCCTAAGCCAAATTGACCAAAAGAGCAAGAAGCTAACAGTTTGAAAATCTTGTTGTGTCAACAGAAATACAAAAAAACAAGCAGTTTCTCACTGGATAAAAAAATATTGAATATTTGCATTTGATTTGATGACATTGAGCTAGTGCAGAAAATGTGTATATCTACATGTACGTTTGTCAGTAGGGAAGAGACTGCATCAGACTTGCCTTTTCAGATTGTGTTGTAATTCTGGTTAAATAGCCAAAGAAAAAGATGTGCAGCAGTATACTCTACGAAAATTAGTGTTTTAAAGACTATGGGTAAATAGCATGACCAGGCAAGCAGACGGTTACTTGCGTACCTCCTGCTGTTTCTTTTTACAAACATTTATGACGTATGAGTTCATTCATCAGCGAAGAGAGAAAATGAGTTTGAAGTTCATTTACAGAGTGTTGTTTTCACATTTTTTTCCTAAAACCATTGGCTAAGTGACCTCATCTATGTGACCAAAGAGACTTCAGGGATCAATGCAAGGGACAGGACTGATGATTTTACCTCGTTTACTATATAGCTGAAGTAAAAACCTGCAATGGCATATTTAGACTGTAAGAGGCTTACTTTTTACCTTGATAAGCTTCAGAATTTTCATCTGAAATAACTTCATTTTGTAACAATAACAGAAATGTCACTTCTGTAGAATGAATCTCACATTTTTTCCTGAAATTCTTGTTGGCTGTTAACAATTAAAAACTCTTTACCCCAATACCTTCAAGAAGAAAAATTCTGTGAGAAATGCTAAAAGTTTCTTGTCTGAGAACCGGAGATAAAAAAGAGAATGTAAAAATGAAGAACTTCTCTGTAGACTTCAAAACTTAGGACTCCTTTATTTCCAATACTTGTATGGATCAGATACGTTCTATATTTTTGTAAGTTACCAGACATGCCTCCCAGGAATGGGTGTTTGTTTTTTTTCTTGGCTTCTGCTATTTTCAGTTCCATTTCTGAGAAGTAACGTAAAAGAAATGGTTTCAAAAGGCCTAATTCAGAAGTCTGATCTCTTACCTAATGACTTATTCTGCCTACTGCAGTAGTCCTAAAGGATGGCAGGACTTGTACCGTCTTTAATATTTGTGAAGCAGCACAAGCCTTTATGCCATGTTGGGCTAAAGGACACCACCAAGGTAGGGAAAACATGAATCTTTGGAATTATTCTGTACTGTTAGACCTGATGACAATTTGTTAAGAACCAAAGCATGTAAATGTCAAACAGGGAGTTTCAGACACAGAGTCAAGAGTTTAAGTCGAAAAGTCATAGTTGTCTCATTGACTTTTGGAATTATATTTGACTGAAAGCAATGATAGAGTGTTTCCTGATTTATGCTATGAAGGTGAGAAGAGAAACAGGCCATATAGTCTTCATGCCTTTTCTTAACCCAGGTAAGACACAAGGTGTTCAGTACTTGCCAAGTTTCTGCACATCTGTCAGTTGCTCTACCCCCATGCTTTTTTGATCTACTGGGTAATTTCAGTAAAACTTTACAGAGGGGCAGAAGTCTCAAAGGCAATTTATTTTCTGTGAACATCCTGGAAATAAATGATTGGCTCAAAGGTAGTACCTTTACTTGAGGGGAACTTAGGTGAAAATCAGCTGTTGCCTGCTCAGCTTACACCTTACTATGATAGAAAGAGGGAAACTTCAGGGAACTTTCCCTTAAGGGAAATGGGGCACAAATATACAAGAAAATTGGCTTCACTAGTGCTCCTGGTTATGGAGCAGATTATTAAACTACATTACACTGCTAATATAGTAACTTCCAGATGGTGATACATTCTTAAGCACACAAATAATATTTACAGTAAGGAACACGAGTTTAAGTGATAACCAAAACTAAAACAAGATCTCTTTATTTTGCTTGTCTTGGATTGAGGGTAAGGAGGAAAGGAGGATAAAACTGGGATGTTGAGACACTTCTACTGACGGAGCGCATATATAGATGATTAGGATACCTTCATTTGATAATTACTTTCAAGAAGAAATCTGGATTTACTGTACTTCTGACTAGTATGGCTATATTTCAAAGTTTGTCAAGGTGCCTACAGGCCCAAATACATGTCTTTAAGTAGTATGAATGTCTGAAGGTCATATATGAATTAAATCTATGCTAGCCCTTCTGGGAGGAAGGTAGTATGATTGCCCATTTTTATCTCCAATGGATGTGCCTCTCTGCTTATTCTCCATTCAAAAAAACAAGAAAATAAACATACTTATAATATCATCATGAAACCCAGCACTTCAAAGCAAGAGAATCTATAGTTATAAAACAGTTATAAGAAAAGGCATATCGCAGGCATAATAAACACAGTTGTTACTCATACCAAGTTCAAATAAATGTGTATTTAAGCCAAATGACTTAATACTCCAATCCATGTTTTCTTGATTTTAAAGTTTTATTTTGGTTCTCCTGAAGAAAAGTATGTCATATTACTTAATGAAAACTGTTGGATGGATATTATAACAATTGACATCTTTATCAATTGGCAGTACAGGTCATTGCTAATGCACTTATTATTGCTGTTTCATGACTGTAATAGTGCATCCTTGACATAATAAGAAAAGTATTGAGCACTATTCACATTAAAATTATGTCTGTGTGATTTTCTTTAAGACAGATCAATGTATGCCATTGATGTCACTTATTTCACCTTCATATTCTTTTTGCAGAAGCAATGTGTGATAAGTTCCTAGTACACTAGACTGCTGTTGAAAAAACAGAATATATGTGAGATGTGGGTTTATGATGATACGTTGTATTGTGCAGACAGAATGTAGTGTGAGTTTGGATCCAGATTTGTTTCAAAGAATTCCAGAAGGGGAGGTTATGTTACAAAGACTGTGTTATGCCTTATGAAGTGCTTTGCATAGCCAAGAGTATCTTTACTTGGAAATTTGTGTATTCTCTTTTTAAAATCATCTATACATAATAAAATTTTTAAGTTTAGAGAAAGTAAGACATTCCAAGCAATGAAAAACAGTGAAGTTTTGTGGAATAATGTGTGGTGAAAGGGAAGATATAAAACTGTAGAAAGAACACATTTTACTAGCAGTCTAAAATGAGAAGATGGCTGGTAGGACCTGTAATCCAACAAAGGTAAAAAAAAAGTGCCATGCAAATGAGAACAAATTGTGCAAATGAAGGTTAAGAAATAGATAACAGCAACAACAGGAATCTTTTACATAAAAGTAATACAGCAACATTAATATAAAACAGTAGCAAATACTCATTTGAAGGGCCACCTGCATTTTAAAAAAATTCTTGGTATAATGTACATAGCAGACACATGTTCCTAAGTCTGTATTGTTCAGTTTAGAGATGGGCCCTTTGACAGTCAGACAAACAAATATCATTAATTAAATTAAAACTCTGGTAGAAAAGCAGGCATGAAATGAGGTGTGAATTTGAAAAAGCACTTAAATAAATGTTGACCTTCAAGTCTGCTTACAGTAGGGATTTGAACTTCCATGAAAAAATTACATTTTCTCGATTTCAAAATCTTTAACTCTTCAATCACAATCTTCTGTGGAATGGTTGTTTAGACACTTTACATGCAAGCATAATAGTTATCTGTGAATATTCAGAGTGGTTTAAACATGCTTTTTCTGTCTTCAGCATACAAAAGAACTTCTGCAAGAATGTATTCACAAAACGTGAGGAAAGTACTTTGAATGTTGACTGATAGCTATAATTGCTGATTTTGTTATTCAGAGAGAGAGTTGTAGAGAATGAAGTTATTTTATGGCTCGATATAAGCAGTGAAAGAGAATACACCAAAATGTTTCCCAACATAGTGTCAGTGGAACAAAATCAGGCAGAAAATACATAAAAGTATAAAAGATTGTGATGGAGATTTTAAATAATATAGGCTGCAGGATACTGTAGATATTTTTGTGACAATACTATGTTTATGACTTTGAGTGGTAAACATCATAGCCTGAACTCTCTTAGGTTTCACTGTGGTCAGAAATACTTCTTTATTCAGGTTTGAAATATATCTTTTTGTCTTTAAACATTAAGCAACTGAGTTTGCATTGCAGCTTAAGGGAATTAACAAGCAGGACTGATCTTCCTGAAATCCCCATTTACACCTCCAACTGCTTTCAGGGCCCTGCCACACAATCATTTAAGAAACAATGAATGTGGTGGATGTTCTTGCACTCTGAGTGCATAGAGGTAGAGGCTGCAATACCAATAACAAAGTCACGCTCACATTGGCTGGGTGGGATTTATGTCTGTGTTCATGTGAATTGAGATGGGTTAGCTTAAACCCAACCTGAAATTGGATGATTTTGTCCTGAAGTGGGGTAGGATAGAGAAAAAGAGGAACCTTCCTTTCTCATTCCAGCTGGGAGCACAAGATGTCTGCTACAATTACTGCATATAGGCTCACTGGCCTCTGGCAGGACAGCAATGAATTTCAGATCTGTCCTCCAGAGGGTGACAAGATTTGTGTTATCTTTCTACTCTCTTACCCTCTGTATTTTTGTACTCCAACCACTGGCAAGTCCATAGTGAAAATGATCAAGTCAAATGAAAATCAGCTACCTGGGCATCTTACCTCTAAATAAGTGCCTGTCTTCATTTTGTTTCAGTAAGGCAGGTCTAATTTTTCCCTTAGAAGAATTTTCATACTGTTATTGCAGTATGAAAGAAAGTGCACAGACAACTGAGATCAAAAAGAAGATGAAATAAATGTTGATTACATGATATTAAATTTTGTAATTAATGATTACAATTTTTAGTTTTGACTTATAGCACATACGAATAGTGTTAGGGGAATTTATCCAGCACCAGGCAGAGCTAGGGAACTGTATTTCTCTTTGAATTTACAATTCTGCTGTTTGAAGATGGGTTGAGGAAGAAAACTTTAGCAATAAAAAATGGACCATGTTGGTGGCTGGTATAAATCAGCTCTTGTGAAGCCTGTGGAGTATGCTGATTTAAACAAATTTTGGCGTATGTTCCACAATATTTCTAAACTGTAATTTCTATGTAGCTTCAGATGGCAATTTTTTTATTTGATGTAGCCAACAATTTAAAACACCTTATTTATTTTCTTAGCATATGTTTTTCTTCCTCTCTCATTTGTGCTTCTCTGTTTTTTCTGTAATGTCTTCTTTTTCACTCAGTAATGCGAACCGTCACACCTTGCATTGGGATATATTATGTCAACTCTATCTATTCTTTCATGTGCCATGTATAGTCAGTTCCCAGCTGATGTATTTCCTCTGTGGTATGAAGGTACTTCTTTGTTAAGACCCTTGGTGAAAGGGTTGAATACAGTAATAGCTCTGCAAAGATGACTTAGCAGCAAAATTTTACACCACTGTCTAAGCCTAGTGCACCCAGCAAAATATTCCATACACATACCTTGCATTTTGTGCAGCACTGTCAGCAACTCTATTTTTTTGACAATAGTTTCTGATTCTCTACATGCGATGTATAGAGTATTGGTCATGTCATTTTATTTTAAGGGAAAGCAAAGTAATATAGATCTCAGAGAAATGTGTTCCTAGTATGTCCTTTGCCTAATTTGAAGACAGACTCCAGAAATTCTCTAAAAGGGTGTAAAATCCTAGCAGTAATATCTCACGCTGGTCCTTAATCCTACTAAACCGCTCAGTCTCCGTATACAGGACTGCCAAGCAGACAGATTTTGTCTCCACAATTTATTTTAACCAGGAAGGTTAAACAACTGATATTTTATGGCAAGGATTCTATTTATTTTGACCATGTCAAAAAGTGTCATATTAATGTTAGTTTTCTGATTCAGTCAACGGGTTTTACTGTTTTGTTCTATCACAGAGTCAGCTGCAATAAAAGAAAACATAACAGCAGTAGTCTGGAGACAGGAGGAAGAAAGAATTTAGCAATAATATATGTGCAAAACAATAATGATCTGTTTACACACAGGTGCACACATACACAAACACACATAAGCACACACAAATATGATAGTATATTCTTGTTCTGAGTATTTGATCCATGTGGAACAGAATGGGTTTTTTTCCAAAGCTACATACTTTGACACTCAAAAGAAGAAATTTGCAAGCAATGAGAAAAGTATTATCACCAGGGAAGTGGAAAAGTTATACAGATTTCAAGAAATAGAGATATAAATGGAC